TACATAGTTTCTTTTGCTTACAACTGAAGAACACTAAAATTTTTCCGGTTAAAGGCCATATTATTTATTCATTTAGCAAAACACGGTTTTCAATGGAAAGTTTTTTGTTCGTTATTTTTATTATATAAAGGTATTTGGGTGATATGCACTGTAATCCTCACCCGGCTTACACCGACCACAGTACTGGCGTAAAATATCCTCAGTGGTAGACGAATCAGGGGTTAGAGTCGCTTTGCCGTTAGGCTAACCATGGGAGGTTTTCGTGGTTTTCCACTCTATGTAACGCAAATGCCATTTAGTTCAATCAAGAAAGCCTCTACTAAGGCAAACTTATCCCAATACTTGATCCAGGAGTTTCCTTATCTTCTGGATTGGGTACAAAATTACTAGGCTGCGGAGTTAAACAATTACGCTGTAGTGTTTTACTGTAAAAATGGATTTTACGCACGATGCTTCCAAAGTGCCGGTTTTTTATACCATAATTTGATTCGGAATTGTTTACAATGTAGTGATAAGTCACGGATTTTTTAAGGTTTATATTTATATATCAAATTGTTCATGAATATGATTTCCAGACCAATGCTTTGCAATATTTACGAATTACCTTTGGATAACAGTGCCATACATAAAATGTATATTCTGACTACATGAAAATCATTTTTTAAAACAAAAATCGCTTAAAGAAAACGCCTTCCAATATAATAACAAAAAGTAGCGTATTATAAAACTTTCAAATATTTTAAAACTTATTTCCACAAATTTGATAAAAGGTAAGTGCTTCATCATAATATGTCTTTTTTATTATTCATGGAGTTGTTACTTGATACTTTTTAAAAAAAAATATACACCCTATTTGTGAAAGGAATATGAGGCTCGTAAGAAGTTTGGATTACATTAAAGTAGTTTAACACATTGAAATTCATTATTTTAATCAGATACAAATATGCCAAAAATACGGAGCAAAAAAATGTTTCGAAGTGTTTTTTTTTTGGGTGAAGTACCTCCCCCCTCCCCCCAGAAAAAAAAAGCAGTTCGAAACATTTTTTATCTAATGATCAGAAACAATATTAATGCTTTTAGAGACATTCGTGTTTATGCATGAAATTAGTTAATACGATATTTCAAGTTACGAAATAAGCCACAGGAGTATAATTTTCTCAAAATACGCCTTTTTTTGTCCCTGACAGATTAAGATTTTTTACTCTCAAACTACAAGGGGATGTCCAGAAATACGATTCCAACAGTTTAATAGTTTAATCACGAAAACGATTGAAAAGTAATTTTAATATTTAATATTAATATGACGTTTAAAAAATTTTTTTTAAGGAAGCATTGTTTATCAAGTGAATTGTAATGTAATGTAATAATTTTTGTAATAGTTTTGTATGTAAATGTAAATAACTTTTAAGTAAAAACTAATTTTATCTACACTTTAGTGCTCAGTTTCTGAAAAAATGCATAAAAAGTTTGAATTTTAAGGTTTAACAATTTATAGTGGATGTTTGAAAAAAAAGAATGAGGGAATTTTGCTTTGTATTGTATAATGCTTTTTCTATTTTTCCATTCTTTATATAATATAATGGTGGAAGATTTATCAAGATAGATTAACAAATAAGACATATATCTCCCCCAAAACGAAAAAAATAATATTTTTTCCTACATCTGAATAAAACTTAAGCAAAACCTATTTATTTCATTCCAGTAGTCAAATAGAAAAACAATAATAATGTTGCCAATAAAGTAAACATTTGTAGTAAAGTTTTGGAGCTTCCCTTATTTTAAGTGTAATCAAATAAAATTTCTGTTTTCAGAGATTCAAAGATTACAAGAATGTATAATAGGTTATGTAATGATTAAATTACTTCAGATATCTTATTCCAGTGAAAAAGTATTTTTTAAATGAATTTTCTATGGTATATATACTGGAATCCAGTATTCAAAAATAAATAAATTAACTAATAGTAATGCTACCAATAAACTAAGTATTCATACTTGAATTTCGGAGCTTCCTTTATTTTAAGTGTAAATAAATATTACTAGAATGTACAATAGGTTATGTAATGATCAAATAATTCCACACCCAGATATCTTAATGCAGTGAAAAAGAATTTCTTTTAAATAATATTTTTATGGAAGGTACTTTTTCAGTGGTCTAGTATTCAAAATAATAATTATAATAATAATGTTAACAATAAATTAAATATTTGTTGTAAAATTTTGGAGCTTCCATTACTTTAAGCGTAAGCACATAATATTCTTGTCAACATAGGTAACTGGAATGTATAATAGGTTATATAATAATCAAATTATTTCACACCCAGCTATTTTAATACAGTTAAAGGAAAGTAAGTTTTCATTGTTGTTCAGTAATCATAAAGAAAAAAATTATCTTAACTATAAAGTAAATATTAGTAGTGAAATCCAGGAACTTCTTAATTTTACGAGTAAATAAATAAAATTTCTGTCAACTCAGATTACTATGATATATTATAGGTAATACAATGATAAAACTAGCTCACACCCAGCTATCTTAATGCTGTGAAAACGAATTTTTTTTAAAATTATATTTCCATGAAAGGTACTTTTTCAGTGGGCGTTAACGGGATATGTCTTCTATATATTGGGCGAACACAGATTCCATGACAAACTACAGGACATTTGTCATTAAAGTCGGACTGTCTGAGACATAAATATCTTCCTTTTAAGGTCATGTTTTCGCTCGAATATCTGAGATATTATTCTTATTCCGAATGAATGGATTCACCATTTCAAGTGATATTTAAGGTACGAGGACATATTTCGGGACGTAAAAATCACATCTCCTTTAATTGGATCACGGCAGGCAATATAAAAAAAGATGACGGAAATCGTTCTCGTGATACACTTTTTGAACTTTTTCCGGTAATCATTTTTAATCTGAAAGTTCCTGACATCGCTTATGTTTCGGAAGTATCGGTAATATTGTCATTCAAACTTGGTTTAAAAGAAAATTGCTGGTTATAAAAACCTGTAACAAAAGCTTTATTTTATTTTAGAAAGTTATGAAGCATACAAAATATCGAAATGCATACTTCACTTTTGTGTTATTTCTTTTATTAATATTAATTATAACTTTATATTAGACTAACAAGTTATATAATTTTAAATATAACTGCATTAAATAATGTATTAAAATATATTTTATTATATTATATAATATTATACATATATATATATAGTGAAAAGTGATTACTCAAATTCAAAATTCATGCACTGTATTAAAAATTGGGATCTTTCAAATCATGCAGAATTTCTCAGCAATAACCGTTCANTATATATATATATAAATTTGAAGAATCGTTGATTAATAATCTGTACATCAATCTTGTATATTTTAAACATTCTGTAATAATATTGAGTGCAAGGAAAATAGTTACTATAGAGAATAGAATTAGCTTTAATTACATTGAATTTAGAAAAATGTTTTCTTTTTTTGAATTATCATTTCCCGAGAGTTATCGACCGTTCAAATTCTGTATTTTATCAATTTAAACTACGTAGTTTAAAACAATGTAAAATCTGCATACTTTCTAATTCAAGCATTTTCAATCAATATTAAATTAAGTCATAATTATTAAAAAAATGTTTTTTCCGTGGAATTATCTTTGAAAACACGATTTAAATAATCTTAGGGTGCTATTTCTTTAATTTGACCAATGATAGAGATTTCGTACGTTAATTATACTTCGTGTATAATTAACGTACGTTAATTATACCTTACCGTTAATTAAACTTCGAAGTAAGAAGTATAATTAACGGTAAGGATAAAAAAATTCGATGACTCTCATGACTGATCCATTTTGGGACCATATTTTCCAGATTGCAGCTAAACACCATATTGCTTTGATAAAAGTTCAAAATTTGAGCCTGTCGAAAAAAATCCGTATTTATTCAGAGAAAGTATAGTTTTGTATCTAATTTCTTATTTTAAATTATAGTACGTACTATTTACTATGGATTTTTAAGGTAAACACTTCGAACCATTAAAATTGCATGTTAGTAAAAATTGGATTATCCCCACAGATCCCTTGAACCCCACCCAGCTTCATATCGACAGGTACCACCTTGTCTGGGAAGTAAAGACGGCAATTGCGCAATGCTGACCACATTGCTGCAATAATTGGCTATTACTTTTAAAGAAAAATCGGGTGAAAAATTATTCATATGTTTGTCAGTTTTGTGTACTATACATAGAAATAACGATTTGAAAAAAAAATAGAATATAATATTGCATTCTTCGAATTGGCTGCTTAACATAATTTATTGTTTGAAAAGATTTCGCTATTTGCTAGCTAGCTATACTTTATTTCTTATTACTTGTTTTTTAGTTATTTTATTTGTTCATCGCACCCTTAGTAAAAATTAAGTATTTCGTAATGGCATAAAATATTAAACTTTCTTAAAAATTCTTCTAAACGGTATAAGTCAATTAGTCATTTTTAATTTGCATTTGGAAAATAATTTTGAAGTTACAAGGATTAAGGTACTCCAAAATTATAAAGTTAGATAAAGTATGGGATAAAATAGGATATTTGCCTTGATTTTGTTTTCGTTAGCGACATTATTCATTGCATGTAATTTTCATAAAATTTAGGCATCTAATTATATTTTAATATCATAAACTAATTTGATTGATATCAGTTTTTCTCTAACAAATAATACTGCTCTGAAATATTCCAATCAACCATTAGTTGGCAATGTTGTATAATAAAATATAGTAACTGTGTAGTAATAGTAATTATAATAAATATATAGTAATAAAAATATAGTAGTAATAATAAAATATATAACCCTTAAATATTAAACATTTATTTTACTCATAAAAATATTCAACATATGCGCTATTCTGTGAACACTTAATTTCACAGATTTATTTTAGTTATTAAATAAAACTAATAAAACTCCTGAGCAATATTATAGAAACATATTGAAAAGTCATTGGAAAAATTGGATAGTCTTACCGGATCAGCCAAATTGGGGGGTAATCCAGACTTGCTAAACTGTTTCAATAAACCTTCAACAGCATTCCAGTCACTTTTCTTGCATAATTGCAGCAATGTTTGTTGTGGATCTTCCGGATCTGATTCCTCACCAGTGTGCACAGTTGCTTCAGAATCTGGTTCGGAATCAGGAGCAGGAGGTGGTGATGGTAATTTCTCTGGTGGTAAATTTGTGGCAGTTTGAGGTTTAACTCCTGCCTCTGAAGTTGGAACTGGAGTCGAATTTTGAGCACTCTTATTATTCATCGAAGGTGTTGGTGGTAGAGGAGGCTTGTTTGTCCTTCGAAAAGGTCTAGAAGTTAATCGTCTTGTCAATGGAGGGGGTTTTAAAATAGGAGTTTTTGCGGATGGAGGTGGTTCTTGCCTTTTACCAGGCGTTCCATTACCAGTTATTCTATGCCTCGATAAATTGTTAGCAACTGTTTCAAGTTTGGATGCTCTAAATACCAAAGACGCGAAAGCATTGGGTTTTGAATTTGTCTTTTCATGCACTGCTTTGGAAGACGCGTGTTTGTTTACGTCATCACTAACTGGGTTTATATTATCCACTGCATTTGGTACCAAAGGATGATCTGATGAGTTAGAAATATTTTCTTCCTGTACAGTAGGATCTTCGATTACACTATTGTGAGAATTTGCTGTCATATCACTGTGAGTATTAGTAGTAAGGGCACTCAGGGAAGTTGTTGTAATAACATTCAAAGTGTTTTGTGTGTCTCGTGAAGGTTCGGTTTTGTCGAACGCGGAATTAACGCGTGTGAACACATTGTCTCCTGAATACAAATCTTGATAGGATCCCTTTAAAGATGGTGACAAGGCATTTCTCTCAATAGGCTGTTGGACTTTAGCAGATTTTCTGTCTTTAGTCCAATCTTCGTTAATTTTTTCGGAATTTGTCTTATTCGTATCACCTTGCATGTGTTCGAAAAGAAAGCGAACAGGATCAGTAAATCTGAAATCCATGACTCTAGGTTTATCAGGAGGGGGAAGATCGTTTTTAACTGTGGGGGGATCCATTGTGACAACTTTCTACTTCTAAGGTTTCTAAGTAACAGCAGGATCGAGTGTCCAAGACAACAAACTGGCCTCTTCTTTTTTCCACTGCTTACTTTTGCCCATGCGTGATCTATACAATCTAACGAATGGCAGGCAGTCTCACGAATCATATCCGTTGCACGCTACAGAGGGAATAATGAATAGTTCATTTAAGCCCCGCTTCTTTTCCTTGCTTTTAGTTTATTATTTTTAAGACTTCTCTAAATATATTTTAGTAGAACATTTGAGAAACAATAAAGTGTAGAATCAGTCAGTTAAAAGTATGAGGCACAAAACGAAAAGGTGACTAAGAATATTTTGTTTAAGTATATATTGAGATTTTTTAGTATCGGAATGTAAAAATTAAAATTGATTCTCTCAACTTGATAAGCAAAAATCTTATTTTCTCTTTGAAAAGATTGTTATATAAAGTTTTATAGATTATATATAGCTGGCGTTTTTTACGTAATTTACGTTAGATTTTATTTTTATATTTAAAATGGTAGTAAAATTTTGCTTTTTATTAAGTACTTGGATGTTTAAATTTAATTTAAAAGGATTTTAAACACCACAATATGCAAATAAATTGAACACGCATGTGAAAACATGAATCATCATACTATGTCTACACTCTGTCAAAATAAAATAAAATTTCCTTACAGTTTCCATTTATTTCGCTATAACATAAGAAAATCATCTTTGGTAAGAATATGAAGTGGCAGGCAAGAATAATGCGATAAATAAATATCGTATTTTAGATTAAATATACTTGCCATTGTAAAAACATCTTAGTTCATTAATTTATAATTTTATTTTTAAGGCATAACACGCCCTTTGTATTTTTGAAATACTAATTTAAATTTAACGGATATAACGTTTATTCATATTTTTTACTTAAAGCAACAATATGCATTTCAGATTAAAAATAGATTTTTAACTAAACAGACATATTTTTTCTCTCATTTTCATGACATTAATTTAAAATTTTATCCATCAGTACTATAAAAATTCTTTTACAATTTTTTAAGAATCTTGTTATATATCAGTGTTTAGCGAAATCTGCATTATATAATGAATAATGAAAAGTAAAGCACTCCTGAACAGGCCGTTTATACTCAAGAGGTTATAGCTGTTAAGATTTTACAATTTTGTGAACAAAGATAATGGGCTAATATGGCAATTTTTTACACATTTCTAGAAAAACCATATTTAATATAATTTTTAATTCGTGAAACATTTTTTAACTAATTTAGACGTTTACCTGAATTCTCGTTTGTACCTGGAATTACAAAGTTGCTTAATTTTTCTCAAATAATTTATTTTAAAAAGTTTGCTTTTGTCCACACCACCGCATGTATAGCATGATTCGAATCACTTGTTCCAAAAAACTTGATTCTAATCAATGGATTCGAATCACCGGTCTGAAACACTTGATCCTAATAGCGATTTAAATCACTTAATTTAATCAATGGTCCGGATCACTTGATTCGAATGCTTGAGTCGAATCACATAGTTCTAATCACTGATCCAAATCATTTGATTCAAATCATAGATTCGAATAGGATTTTCTATCCATGATCAGAATTACAGATCCGAATCACTTAAATAGAATCAATTGATTCAACGTCCAAGTGATCGATCCAAGTGATTTGGATCAGAGAGGGAAATTAAAATAAAAGGATAAGTGACTCGAATGAAATAAATCGGATCATTTATTTGAGTCAAGTGATTCAGATCACTGATTCAAATAAAGCGATTTGGATCAATGATTTTGACCAGTGTTTTGAATCAAGTGATTCGAATCAATGATGCTGATCAGTGATTCATATCAGCGATTCAGAGCAGTGGTTTGCCGAGACTTGAGTCTGAGCCAACATGGCTTTCCAAACTATTTATTATTGACGGCAGGGATGCTTGCATGATTATAGTCAAAGGAAATAATTAACTAATATAGGTAGTTAGGCAATAAGGGTTTTTAACGGCCCACCGAAACAAAATAAGTACCGAAATTTATGTTAATCAAAAGTTTCACAGAATATCCAAGTGTCATTTTCTTAAAATTTTATTTCAAAATAATGTCTCCCCATTCATACAAAGTTAGACTTAAATGTGTTAGTATTAAAAAATTAATGAACGAACTTGGAAAGCGAAGCTATTGATTAAGAACTGAGAAAACTATGCTGAGAGTTGGCGAGCGGAACGAGAAGGATTTAAACTAAATTTTTGTTTCAAGCAATTCTTAATTTTTGGAAGCCATATTTGGTGCAAAATTAGAATAATTTTAAATCAGCCTTTCATCATTAATTCAAATTCGAGGAACAATTATAATAATTATGCTTTCTTCTGAAAGTCAATAAAGTGATACTGATGCTTATGCATCTATCTATCTATCTATCTATCTATCTATCTATATATATATATATATATATATATATATATCTATATATATATATATATCTCT